TTTGCGCAAATTTTAAAATACAATTATCAAAATCAACATTTACTCCATCTAAAAATTACATCATGAATGCACATATAAGAAAATTTGAATCTTGATAATATAATAATCAAAACTTGCTTATTACACACTCTCTAAACTTTTAACTAAGACCTCCTAAAACTTTGAATGGTAATCCATTCTTTGTTTTAGAACTAACCAAGTATGCCAAGATAACCCTTTCAAACATGTCGGCTTCCTAGTCAAGAAAAAAAAATACAACGTTAAGGCCTCTATTAGATTCCTAGTTGTGTTTCTTGTCTACTTTTAAAATTGCTAAAAATTGGTATTTAATTCTTATTCTTATCCATATTTTTCGGCTTAAATATATTAAAATATATTTTTTATTTTTATTAAATAAATAAAATACTTTAAAATAAGCACAAAAATTAAAAATTTTAAAAAATAAAAACATCAAAATTATAATTGTATGTATGTATATCCATAAACCAAAAAATTAAAGATTCTAATTTCCATTTTATTAACATGTACTATTTGTAAATGAAGAAGTTTATTTTATTTTTAACAATTTTCATACAACATAATTATATTAAGAATTCAAAATGATGTATATATGGCTGATTCAAAAAAATAACTATTTTTTATTTATTCAATCATTTCTTGTAAACTAAGAATTACCATATTGTTTAAATTTATTTGCGGTTATCATCAATAACTTTTTTTTAATTTACAAAACTTGAAATAGTATCTTTGGATTATTATTTAATAAATTTTTAAGTACTATACATAAAAATCACATTTCTGATTGCATTGATATTTTGAAAATATACATATATTTATTTTTAACAAATATAATATTAGTTTGAAAAAATTCAACTATAATATAAAAGAAAAAAAAATTATAAGTAAGCAAAGAAATTATATTTAACATTCAATATTTCAAAGTAGGCTTGAATGAATTTATTAATACAAAGCTTGCTGCTTTCACCAAAATTTATAATAAAAAATTTATTTATATTATTCATGAATTTAAGAAAATAAAATTACTTTCTATTTTAGAACATGCAAGAAGATGTATCCTCTTGTAATTGCCTCTTGAATATTAGTTTATGAACTTCAAGTAATGTAGTATTTTTATCAAACAAGACATTGGTCTATGATTTTTATTAACTTAAAAAAATTAAAACGTATAATCTGAAAAATAACTTTGAATGTTGGATTCACAACTCTGAAATAATATTTATTGCATACTAGTCTACAAACTTGATAAAAATGTTTCCAACTAATCATGATTTAATCAAATTGATTTTTATTATAAAAACTGAAATTTTTTGTAATTATTTAAATGTTACTTAAAATTAAAATTTAGATAGAATAAAATGCCTCAATTCTTGTATAACATCTAAGTCAATGAATCTATCTTTTTTGGCAGTTTATTATATAATAATTGAAAGTATTCCATTTTAAATCAAATATTTAAAATAAAAAAACAAAATAAGATTTTTTTAATATACTAAATTTCAGAAAATAATATTTAATAATAAATTTCAAATATAAATATTTAAGAAATTTATTTTTTTGAGATACTAAAAACTAAAGTTTATATGATGATCAATCATATAAATTATATAATTATAATGATAAAACATAAAAATATTTTATTTCTAATCTTAAGTTAAAAATACTTTTAGAATTTGGTTTTTTAACTCTAATTTTTACTCACAATAATTGAGTCATCCATTCAACTTCTATTTTTTGAAAAAAAAAATTAAAAATTATTTTTTAGGAATAATAATAGGAATATTAAATATTTTCTTATAATACAAGAATATATATATATATATACACACTTAAAGAAACTTTAGCAAAAATGAGGCCCTTGATACTTTAATTTTAAGATTGAACCTCCTACATTTTAATATCTTATAATCTTTATTATTTTATTAACTTTAAACTTAAATAATAGATAAATACATATAAAAATATGAAAATAATATAATGGCTGATTCTATTTATCAGTAAAATTGACTTAAAATTCAAAGTAAATTTTTTATATTATATTATCTTCAACTCACTAAAAATTCTACAATGTGCAACATCTATATTTTTTTTCTTACAATAATATATTTTTAAAATAATTTCAAATTATTTGAAATAAAATATTTTAATTATTTCATATTTGTAAAAATAAATATGCATCTCTAAATTATTTAGATATAAATCTGGGTTATTTTAATTCTATTTATAATTTTAACTTATTTGATTTAATAAAATTTAATTGAAAAATAGAATTATTTTTTTATTTTTATTATTTTTCTTCTTGTCTTCTTATTCATTAATTCCTTACCTATTTTATTCTCATTATAATATAATCCATTTATTGAATACCTTTACTCTCCATCATTTGACTTTCTAATCTTTTCAACAAACTATTCATCTTCTATTATATTTTATTTCAATAAAATCTATTTCAATTTAACTTATAATGCAGCATCTAGAGAAATAATGATTTTAAATAAGTATCCATTTTTCATTTCACAAACCATCTTTACACTCAATTTGTTCTTTACATGTATGTATCACTAATAAAACATTAATCTAATTAATCATTATTTATATCAATAAAATCATATAATTCTTAGAATTTAATATCAAATTAAACCAGTATAACCTTTA